GAGAGAAAATTTTGGAAATGTTAGTCTGGAAACACAGAAAGAGCTCAGCATTCATTTTAAATTGTAGGAAAATGATAAAAATTCAAAATCATGTAACGGGGGTAGAAATACAACAACAAGCAAACTATATCTTTCTTCAAAACACAGATTTCTCTCTCAGGCCTCCTGGTGCCAGAATGGGCACCGGTGCTTATTCAAGGGGCCTAGAATCAGCCCTGTGCCACCTGCTGCAGAGACACGACTTGGCGAAGAAAGTTTATTCAGTGAAGTCAACATTGGGGAGAGGGCAGATTTGAGTCCATAACCATCTTTGCCATTCTGGACAAAATAGAAAGCTCACACAGGTTAAAAACAAAGGGCAAATTATTCAGGAGGCAGAATCACAAGAATTTCAAGAAGAATGAGAGTGTCAGGGGGCAGTGGAGAGGAGTTCCTTTCTAGGCATTCAGGGTAGGGCAGAATGACTGGATTCTTTTTCTGCAGGGGGCTTGATGATAAGCAATGATTAGCAATGCAGCTGAAGCAAATCGAATCAGCCAATACAACCCTTACATATTGATTTAGAATCTAGGTGAGGCTTCTTAATGTCTAAGCTGGTAAAATCATCTCAGATGGTCAGATAAAAGGGGGCTGGCAACATCTTTCTCTTTCCTAGCTTTGAAACCAAACAAGGACCCCCTAATGTATTTTCTAGGATCCCTGAAATATAAAGTCCATTTACATTGTAATGGTCCAGAGTAAGGAGTAAGTCTTCAGACTTTTGGTTATGATAATGACCAGCATGGACCATGAGTAAGGGCCATTTGATGTCTAAAACTCTCACTTATATGAAAGATAAGGTTTTCATTTCAATATGTAAGATGTTTTATAGGCTGGAAACTGCTGGTTGTGAGCTCAAAGACTCCAGGCTGAATGGCTCCAGACAGCTGAAGAGAAATTTGATTATCTAAGGCCTCACCAATCAAGAATGCCCAAGAGATGATTATGCCCTTGTCGACAGAAAAAAATATAACCAACTGTAAAATTAACCATTAATAATTAATGCGTTTTATTTCCAAGCTAACTGTGTGACCTAGGCCAGAGAAGAGGTACACATGCCTTTTCTCGGGGTGATCATGTACAGAGGTTCCTTTTATTTGCTTTAGAGATTTACAGACAACATTTAATTAAAAGATTTCCCATTGGTCTGGCCCAAAAAGGCGGGACATGTAGAAGCTGGGTGGGGGGGGCTTGTAGGTTATAGGTGGGTTCCACAAATTCTTAGGTCGGTGATTGGAAGGGAAGATCCCTGTCTTAGTTAAAGAAAGGCTTAATCTACATCTCAAGAAAAAGGGATAAGCAAAAGAATATACTGTAATTGGTTGAAATATACATCTCAAAGATACTATGCCAGGAACAGGAGGTAGGAAGAATCCTGTTAAATAGAAAATAAATGGTCTGTTAATGTTTGTGAGCATGACTTCCCCAGTCCCCTTTTGAAAAGATTTTGGAAAAATAGGAAAAGTAGTCAGACTTCTGTCCACACCCTCTTGAACCAGTCACTGAACTGATCATGAGCCTAGGACTTCTGCCCCTAATTTTGCCCTTAAAAACGCATGTGGGGAACATCTCGGGGAGACCAGGTCTTTTCAGCATGAGCTGCCTGCTCTCCTTGCTTTGTGCTTTGCAATAAAGCTGTACCTTCCTTCATCACACCTTTTAAATATTTTTGAGAAAATATTTACATGTCAGCTACCCAAATTGTTGAAAAACAAATGTATAGCACACTAGTCACACATTTTAGGCCATCCTAAACACATTAATGAAAATTAATCTGTTCTTGGGAAACCTAAAATATTATTTTTCATAAACAGAATTTATTTTGCAAATATTTGAATAGATTGTTTAATTTTTTTTGAATAATTTTGTTGTCCATAAATTTTTAGATAACGACTGCTTGCGGGCATGGTGGCACACACCCTCTGGCAAAAACTACTGGAGGCTGAAAAGTAATGACTGCTTGCTGCTAAGAATGATTATTATAGTGAAATGAAATCATCCTCTGAGTTTCACTGAAAATTATTGACAAAAACAGACCATTAAGAGAAAGGGCATTCACATTGATTTTTAACATACACATATACATCAGGAAGCCATACAAAATGTGACTCAAGGAAAAGCCAAATGACTGAAGGTTTTATGCAGCATAAAACAGAGCAGTTTTGAAGTTAAGCTAAGAAAGGGTGAAGGAAAGGAAATGCAAAGAATCTTGTCTTTCTGGGCCAGGTGTCACACCTCTAATCTTCCTTTTCCAAAAAAGGGTAAGAAGGTAGCAACAGATGAAAGGTAGCCTACTTGCATCTGCTGCTGGCTTTACTGATGTAAATAGATGTAAATTTCTTTTACGAAAGATTATATTTTCTTACAAAGATAATTCTCATTTCCACATACTCTCTGGATAGTTATCTCAAAATATGCCAAAGTATATTTGGAGTGGCATATTTTGGCTCCCCACAGTTACCCTTTTGAAAATCTATTTTTAGAAAGGTTTCTGTTAACTAAGAGATTGTCAAAGGGGAACAGTGCAGATGAGAAGAAAACAAATTTCTAATTATTTTGTCTTGAAACTAGTTCATTTCAGGTGCTGCAGATGGGTTCTCAATATTAGATTTCTGTAACGTTCAAGCATGCAGATATTTAACAAGAGGGATTTCTAAGAAAACAAAAGGAAAGCAAAAGTTAATGTCTGGAGCAATCTATAAACTGTTTTCTCTGGAGTCTGGAGGGCAGTTGGCTGGAAAGATTTCACAAGTTAGATTCAAAGAATCTTCAGATAAAATGGAATCAGCAGGCTGAGGCAATCTGACAGATTTTCCTTGTCTGTAGTTTGTGTGTCACAAGGTTGTCTTAATGCAAGCTGTTGTGGTGATTTTTCTTCAAAGCTAAGATCAGTTTTTAGGGCCTCAGGAAAAATATAGTTTTAACTTTAATGAATCCACACCAGAGAAATGAGAGAAAATTTTGGAAATGTTAGTCTGGAAACTCAGAAAGAGCTCAGCATTCATTTTAAATTGTAGGAAAATGATAAAAATTCAAAATCATGTAACGGGGGTAGAAATACAACAACAAGCAAACTATATCTTTCTTCAAAACACAGATTTCTCTCTCAGGCCTCCTGGTGCCAGAATGGGCACCGGTGCTTATTCAAGGGGCCTAGAATCAGCCCTGTGCCACCTGCTGCAGAGACACGACTTGGCGAAGAAAGTTTATTCAGTGAAGTCAACATTGGGGAGAGGGCAGATTTGAGTCCATAACCATCTTTGCCATTCTGGACAAAATAGAAAGCTCACACAGGTTAAAAACAAAGGGCAAATTATTCAGGAGGCAGAATCACAAGAATTTCAAGAAGAATGAGAGTGTCAGGGGGCAGTGGAGAGGAGTTCCTTTCTAGGCATTCAGGGTAGGGCAGAATGACTGGATTCTTTTTCTGCAGGGGGCTTGATGATAAGCAATGATTAGCAATGCAGCTGAAGCAAATCGAATCAGCCAATACAACCCTTACATATTGATTTAGAATCTAGGTGAGGCTTCTTAATGTCTAAGCTGGTAAAATCATCTCAGATGGTCAGATAAAAGGGGGCTGGCAACATCTTTCTCTTTCCTAGCTTTGAAACCAAACAAGGACCCCCTAATGTATTTTCTAGGATCCCTGAAATATAAAGTCCATTTACATTGTAATGGTCCAGAGTAAGGAGTAAGTCTTCAGACTTTTGGTTATGATAATGACCAGCATGGACCATGAGTAAGGGCCATTTGATGTCTAAAACTCTCACTTATATGAAAGATAAGGTTTTCATTTCAATATGTAAGATGTTTTATAGGCTGGAAACTGCTGGTTGTGAGCTCAAAGACTCCAGGCTGAATGGCTCCAGACAGCTGAAGAGAAATTTGATTATCTAAGGCCTCACCAATCAAGAATGCCCAAGAGATGATTATGCCCTTGTCGACAGAAAAAAATATAACCAACTGTAAAATTAACCATTAATAATTAATGCGTTTTATTTCCAAGCTAACTGTGTGACCTAGGCCAGAGAAGAGGTACACATGCCTTTTCTCGGGGTGATCATGTACAGAGGTTCCTTTTATTTGCTTTAGAGATTTACAGACAACATTTAATTAAAAGATTTCCCATTGGTCTGGCCCAAAAAGGCGGGACATGTAGAAGCTGGGTGGGGGGGGCTATACTTGGGTTCCACAAATTCTTAGGTCCGCTGATTGGAAGGGAAGACCCCTGTCTTAGTTAAAGAAAGGCTTAATCTACATCTCAAGAAAAAGGGATAAGCAAAAGAATATACTGTAATTGGTTGAAATATACATCTCAAAGATACTATGCCAGGAACAGGAGGTAGGAAGAATCCTGTTAAATAGAAAATAAATGGTCTGTTAATGTTTGTGAGCATGACTTCCCCAGTCCCCTTTTGAAAAGATTTTGGAAAAATAGGAAAAGTAGTCAGACTTCTGTCCACACCCTCTTGAACCAGTCACTGAACTGATCATGAGCCTAGGACTTCTGCCCCTAATTTTGCCCTTAAAAACGCATGTGGGGAACATCTCGGGGAGACCAGGTCTTTTCAGCATGAGCTGCCTGCTCTCCTTGCTTTGTGCTTTGCAATAAAGCTGTACCTTCCTTCATCACACCATTTGCCTATAGTTTGGTTTCATAACACTTGGGCGAGCAAATCTGATTTGAGTTCGGTAACAGCTCCATAGTAAGGCATCTGTGAAGACTCAGCAAGGTCATTGTGTAGCATTCTGAGGGAGGTATCTGTAATATTCATTGTGAAGTAATACATAGAGGTTAGGGGCCAGCAGGTGGTGTGGTGGCTGGGCCTCTGGACTCTAGTGCCCACCATGGTTTGAGGTCCAGACCTGGCAGCTTGCTTTCTCACTTTCCTTCTCTCTGTCTTTCTCTGGTGAGCACACATGCACTCTAGCAAATTAAATAATAATAATAAATAAATGTGCTTGCTTGAGCAGCACATATACTAAATTGGAATGATACAGAGAAGATTAGCATGGCCCCTGCACAAGGATGACATGCAAATTTCTCAAGTGTTTCAAATTTTAAAATAATAATAATAATAATAAATAATTCTCTTTTAAAGAAAGAAGTTGAAGGAAGATTTCCCTTAGTTTTAATCCATCGTTAGACACTTAAGACTAAAAATGATATAGTCATTTTGGTTCTCTTATTATTTAGTTACACCTCCTTTTACCAAAGATAATCATAGAACTATGGGCTAGACAGAACAGCATGCTGTGGTAAGCCAGGTTAACGAGGAGGTATTTGCATCCTCCTCTGAGGGACCAAGAATGCACTGCCTCAGTGAAAGCTGACTCATTATAAAATACATATGCAACTCCTCACCAGAGAGAAGAATTCCCTACAAACCTTTATCCCACTAAAGCAGGAGCCACCCCACCACACTTTCTCAACCCTTCTACTTAAATTTGTTTGTTAGTTTGACCAACTCGGCTGACAAATATGGTAGAGCAATGGTGTATAGCAATCTTTGGGGCAGTGGCAATTTCCTTAGGCCAATGTCCTCAGATTGTGGCTGTGTAATTTTAGCTTCTGCATTACTACAAGTCTAGCCTGTGTACTTTCCTCATTATCCTCTATTACCTCAATGGAACCTTTTTCCTCCAAGGAATTTGAGTCCTCAGTGGGGTAAAGTGGCAGGGCAATTACTGTAATGGTTTAGTTGTCTGCTCTCAGTGGCAACTAAGCAGATCTCTAGTCTCAGTCTGTATGGCTGGAGCATTTTGCTACAGTTGGAGGTCTTCTCTCAGATGCTATGTTTCTGCACAAGCAGATAACCCTTGCTCTATTGCTAAGCACAGTGTACAAAGGAATGGTCACGCTGACAGGCTGACAGCGGCAGGAGAGCCTACTCACCTTAAAAGCTCTAACAAACCCAGGGGCTGGCAGGTGGTGTTGAAGGACCAGAGTGACTCCATTTATTTTATGGGACAACTCCATTTTGTTAAACTCACCTTGCTGAGAATCGGTGCCATTTCAAAGAGGCAGGCCGATCACTTAGGAGAAGGTTATAAAACTATCACCCCACCAGGGCTGGCCAATGATAAATAAAGGAAATACCTTTCTTGCCAATCAGTTAAAGACAACTATGGTTTTTGAAATCTAAAGCCAATGTATAGCTGCCTGAGTGCATTCCTCAGTACCCCTAGACCTCCCCAACTAACCACCAAATAAAATCCCAGCCCAACTAACACGCAGGGCTCTCCACTCTGACCCACTGTGTCAGAATTGGAGTCCTGGCTTGAGCCCTAATAAAAGCAACCCTTGTGCGCTTGCATCAGAATCAGCTCCTTAGTGGTCTTTTAAGAATTTTGCTACCTGGACACAATGGTGTGGTGGTTAAAGGTGCTGGATTCCCACATGGCCAATCATGGTTTGAGTCCTGGACCTGGCGGCACGCTTACTAACTCTCTCTCTCTCTTTCTTTCTCTCTCTCTCTCTCTCTCTCTCCTTTCCCTCTCTGGTCAAATTAAAATAAGTAAATGAATAAAATTAAATAAAATCTTTTTATTTAAAAAAAGAAGCTCTAAAAACCCTATAGGCATTTTTGGGCACCCCTGTACTCAGGTAGTGGCCCCAACTGTCAAAAAGACTGGCCCCCTCATACCACATCAAGATGGAAGTCCCCAGTATTTTCCCCAGTGACATTCCCTTTTTCTCAGTTTCCCCTGTGGTCACTCCAACAGGGAGCTCCTTGGAATTCTTCCGACTCTGCCACTTGTCCTGGGGGAGCCACAAGCCTTTTCTGAGAAGTCTTGCCTGTGATGATTACTGATTTCAAAGAACACACGCAGAGGTCCAGCAGAGAGAGTCCTGAGTTTACTTTCAAAGAAGGCTCTGCTCATGGCCAGGAAGAGAATGGTCCATGCCATCACTGAATACAGGCTCAGATTATATATGTAAAGAACAAAGTATTCAGAAATCAAGGGAAGATCAATGTGGATTCCCTGTCACCAAGGCAAGGACCGCTTTGTACATACATAGTTCAAGGGTTTCAATATCAGGTTAGCTTATTACATAAGCAGAGTGTGTTTCAGGTTCAGTGCCTCTGATTTTGTGATGTTAGTGTGTGTGTACATACCTCCAGAACAGCCCTGTCTATGGATGAGTTCCATGAAGTAAGGAAATGATCATGAGATGCTCATGGAGTACAGCAGGATCTCAGAAAGATAGGAAGGAGAGCTCTCAATGTTTGGATCTTGCCCTCAAGTGTCAAGACTGACACACACATACCTTTAATCTGAGGTTGGCTGAGGTTAGGGATGGGTCATGGTCTGGAAGCTCTTTGGGGATTCCTCTTTTTCCACCTCTATCTTTTTTTCTGACAAAAAGAAAATTAAAATTAGGGATCAGCATGTGGTGTGGTGGTTAAGGTGCTGGACACTCCCACATGGCCAGTGACAATTCGAGTCCTAGACCTGTGGCTTGCTTTCATACATTTTCCCTCTGTGTCTTTCTCTGGTCCAATTAAATGAATGAATACATAAAATTAAATAAATAGTTCTTTAAAAAATAAAATAAAAATTAAAGAAGGAATCAAAGTATTATCCATTTGAAATAGTAAATGGGTAGATCAGGTCGATCAAGGAAAATGTGAATTAGTTAAGTCTACTCCCTAATTTCTAAAATATTGATGTTAGATTTAACTATTGTTTTCTTAGAGTGGGGTCTGTCAAGCTAGAGATAGAATTAATAGGAAGATTCTTGAGAAATTTATGTATTTTGGAAGCTAATATTTTTTTTTAAAGAATTATTTATTTAGTTTTTTATTTACTCATTCACATATTTTAATTTGACCAGAGAGAGACATAGAGAGAGAGAGGGACAGAGGGAAAGCTAGAAAGTAAGCCACCAGGTCCAGGACTCGAACCATGATTGGCCATGTGGGAGTGTCCAGCGCCTTAACCACCACACCACCTGCTGGTCCCAGCTAATATGTTTTTATGATCATTTTTTTCTTTCATCTTTCTCTGTGACCCTTTTTATGATCTTTTTTTCTTTCATCTTTCTCTGTGAACCATAGTAGTAAACCTTTCTACTTTCTACTTATTTATTGGAAGAAGGGGATCTTTATTTTTCAAAACCAAATCAAAAGTAAGCACATACTTTTCAGCCTAACTACTGTGACAGAAAATTTATAATAGATATTATAAATGTTACATTTTTAAAAAATGAAAATGAGCTGAGTGTTCTGTATAAGAATCACTACTAATGTGAAGAAGGGACTTCAAAAAGTTCATGGAACATTGAATTCAAGTATATGTTTATTTGGGTGCAAAAATCTGAAATCCATGCATAGTTTTTTTTCATAATATGAATTTTATTTTAATTGCTAAGGACATGTGCACCCACCAGAGAGATACTGAGAGACAGAAGGAGAGCAAGAGGGAGAAAGCAACTCCCAATAGAGTGGTCGTACCATGTTTTCTTTTTCTCCATTTCTCTATTCTGTCAGGATTTGGGAAACACATGTGCATGTGGCATTTTTCAAGCCACTGACAGCTGTATTTGAACTGTGGTCAACTATGTGGGATCCAGCTCCCCTAGTCACTAGGTTAAAGCATAATATTCCGTTCTTTCTTTTTCTCTCTTTATTTCTTTTTCTCTTTTTCTTCCTTCCTTTCTTTCTCTCTCTCTCTTTTTCTTTTATTTAAAGAACTATTTTATTTAACTTATTTATTCATTTGTTTATTTTAATTTGACCAGAGAAGGACAGAGTGAGAGAGAGAGACAGAAAGCAAACTGCCAGGTCCAGGGGGGGGAGGAGCAAAACATACAGAAAACAAGAAATGAAAAATTATTTGCTGACAATAACACGTTTGTTGATGTGCTTGATTGAGACAATATACAGTGTACTCTGGATGGAAAATCTCATTTTGTATGCTGTAATGAATCTTTCTTTCTTTCTTTCTTTCTTTCTTTCTTTCTTTCTTTCTTTCTTTCTTTCTTTTTTCCTTCTTTCTCTTGAAAGAGGGTGCATGCATATGTTGGAGAGAGAGAGAGCGCACCCTCCATGAGGAATGATGACCTCATAATCCCTATTCCACTTCTACCTCCTTTTGGGATTTTGGACATGTAATTACACCTGCCCAGCATGTTTCTCAAGCTATTGAGTACAAAACTCAGTCTGCACAGTTGGCCATGTGGGATCCAACTGCCTTAAACACCACACCATGAGCTGGCCTGTAATATTCATTTTCTATGAACTTTTTCAACACCACAGTTACATGACACTCTAGCTAATAATTATGTATAAAATCAGGGCTAATAAAGTACTTCATTTGAAACATCTGGAAAATAATATATTTCTCTTGTTAAAAGTTCATGATGAGAAAAGGGACTTTCCTGATGATGAAGTGTTTGGACTGGATGAGTTCAAGGGCTCCTTTTAGATTAGAAGTCCTGGTATTCTTTCTGTCTCTAAATATGTCATCCTTATCACTGGTACCAACTACTCTATTTGGCATATATTAATAGTTACTGCTCAGTAAGTACATATTAAAATAATGTTGATCAAATGCATATGTATATCTTTATTACACATTAGATTTAATGTAGAAAGGTAAGAAATATTATGTGAAAATCTTTTTCAAAAGTAATACTTTTATAGCAAAATAGAATCAAACTTAGCCAGAACATACTGTATAGAAATTTGAGAGAAAAACACTAGAATTATTCACCTGAAACTTGTAAAAATAATGTAAGGTTTCATCTAACTTGGTGATTTTGATAATACTTCAGTTTTAATGGGCACTGCTGTAAGTCCTGATTGCTTACACCCCATAAAACATCCCATAACCCCTGACTCTCAGAAAATACAACAAAGCTTTCAATTCTTGATTATCTTGCCATGCAGAACACTCGCTCCCAGTATACTACTGGCCCAGAGTGGGGAAGATTGGGGTCAGAGGTGAAGTTAGATAAAGGTAATTGTTGTTTGAGTTAAAAGGTTTTATGGTATTCTAGAATCCATGAGTCAACAAGTCTCTCTTTCCACCCCACCATTAAACTAGGCACATCTTTC